CAATATTTTGACTCTCACATCAAGATGAATGTGTGAGTGTGATTGTTAAATTTAGATACCGATCACTATTAACAACTTAAATTTAAGTTTTTAAAGGTTCATAAACCTTGATTCGAAGAGTGGTTTGATTTGTGATTGGTTTTGGTTTGGGTTGTTTCAATTAATAATTTTAAATATAATACTTTATAAAAATGTATAAATAGTAGATACAAAAAATGATTTAAGTGTATAATTTTTTTTTTAATTTAACATAAAAATTATAATAAAAAAAGAAATATAAAATAATATTAATTGATTATATATTTAAACTGAGTTGTAACAAAAGACTAAATGGCTTTTAATTAGTATATATGATCCATATTTAACTAGTTTTTAATATAAGGTCAATGCTTGATTAAATATATTGTTTTTACATCCTTGTGTAGTCAAGCGATAAATCAAACAAATACTGAAGGCTATTGCTTTGGTACAATATCTTATTTAAGAATAAAAGTCTCCTATTTTAGTTTATTTTCTTGTTTTGTTTTGATTAAATAAAAGTTAACATTTATATTTTTTATATAAATAAATAGTAATTATTTCATGTTTATAGGAGTTATGTGGACATATATGCTGTGGTATCTAATGATATCTTATTAATATCTTATAGGAGTTATTTGGATATATATGCTGTGGTATTTGGATATATATGCGGTGATATCTAATGATATATTATTAATATCTTAGGTCTTGATTGTTCTTATGATCTTAGTCTTGTATTTCACTTACAATTTCCATTTAATTTCTTATTTTGATACTTTTCCCTTTGGTGATGAATCATATTTTCAAGTATCTAGAGATGGGGTTGTCATAGCTAAATTAAAAAAATGTAGAGCGAAAATTTTCTTACATATACATGTGATGCTAGAACAGATGTATGCTGCTTAACAGGGCTTAGATTTGAGATTTCTATGCTAGCGTGTTATAGGCAGCTAGGCACTATATATGGGTCAATTACACAGGCACTGCGCTAAGAAAAGAAATAAGTAGGGGAAAAACAAATTTAACTTTTATTAATGTTAGATATATTATAATACTGAATATGTTAAATTTAAACTATTTTAACTTTACTCAACAAAACATTACACCAACTACCTCTAATTTAACTCTCTTTGTAAAAAGGAACATCGGGTTCCTGCACTAATTAATAACAACGAACTCTCTAGAATTCGAGCCACGCTTTGGGCGGTTTGCTAATAATTTTATAAT